TAGTCAAAGAACATGTTAAGAAAAAAAATACATTTTATACATGACAATAATAAATAAAAAAAAAAATTCAAAACTAAAGTAGGGACGTGATTCCTGACCCTGCTGTGTCTCCGCCGTGACCCAACCACTGTTTGGTTTTTGTAGCAGTGGTGATGGAGATCTTCATGGCCATCAGTTGGGGGAAAATTGTATCCATTAGGTGGCGAAGAATCATGGTCCAACATTTGTTTGATCTTTACAAAAATGGATGTCTTTGTGACCCTAGGGTGGTAGAGGATCGTGACCACTAAGTAGCTAATATTGTGATCTTTGCTGAGTAGTAAGAGAGAAAGAGGAGAGAGAGTTGTATTGGGGGAGGGCAATACGGTAGAAGTAGATGGCGGAGGATGTGAGTAATGATGACATATGAGAAAAAAAATTAAAAAAATGGTGATAATGGGTATGCAGAGAAGAGGGTGATGGTGGCAGCTGGTGGCAGCTGGTGGAGGTGAAGGGGAAACCAATGTACCGAAGATGTGGTGAAGGGTCGATCCAATAGGCATACAATTGACAAAATGGTAGTTAATATAATTAAGATAATTTTTAATTTGACATCATGTTAAAAAAATAAATAAAAAAACATCACGGGTTCAAAAAAAGTATAAAAATTTTCTAGTCTTATTTTTGAAATTTGACGGAACAATAATGATTTAGACCACTAAAAAATATATCATTAATAGTACTAATACATTGGAAATGATAAATAAATAAATACAAGGCGTAGAAAGTGGGCGGGGCCAACTGCCACATCAGTAGTGCTCTCTCTAGTGATCTCTTTTTAGTGTTCCCAAGCATTTTTCTTTGACGGAAAGTGGCTGGAATCAATTTAGATGATGAATATTTAAATTTTAAAAAAGAAAATGATATATAAATTTATTTTTAAATCCATTTTTCAGAGTCAATGATGTATTAAGAAAAGTTGTAAATATCAATCAATTATTTTCTTGACACATCATTAGATTTAGAAAGTAAGGTTTAGTTTGGCAATCTAAAAATAATTCATCTTTTTATCTTTTTTTCATCATATCACTTATCTACTTTTTTGTACATTTTTTCGTAAAAAGACAAAAGGTACACTTATTTAGGTCATTCCAAACAACTTTTAGGTCTGAATAGTAATACTCAAGATAAATCTTAAAAATTTAATTTGTTGCACAAGTTAAGTCTTAATTTTTTTTTCATATATTTATTTGGTAATTTTTGCAATAAAAAATGGGGTGAATTGCAAATGCACCCCCTAAGGTCTGATTAAAATACGAATCACCCCCTATAGTGTTGGAAATTACATTTTACCTCCTGAGATTTCTAATTTCATAACAAATGACCTATTTTATTAATAATTATCAATTTAATTAATAGTGTTTAGTCATGCTAGAAATTTGTTTTAATTAATAATTTAGGTAATTTAGCTAACTATAAATTTTATTTTTTTAGTTAATTTTGTTAAATAAAAAATATTAATAAAAATATATTTGTAATCTTTCAAATCACAAAGGATAATTTGTATTTTAAACAAATCTAATAAATGTATTGGTAATTTATCTAAAAAAAAAAAAAACCATATATACATTCTTGAAAATTGAATTGAAAAAAAAAATATTAATAAAAAAATAAAGAAATGCCAGCACAGCAGCTAAAAACACTCTCTTTCTTCTTACCTTACGCCATTAACGCCAACAGTGACTGATGATGAATGATCATTCTCTCTCTCTCTCACTATCCTCCGTTTTTCTCTCTCTAGAAAAACAAATCTTGGTAGAGACTCAAAAGAGTCAGTTGTCAGGTTAGGGTTTTTATAGCATTTTGGAGACAGAGTTTCAGAGACCACTAAAAGAAAGAAAATCAGATCAAATTCCTCCAGATAAGGTGTGGAAGCTTCACTTCTGTTCTTTCCTTTGATTCCTTCTTATATCTGTCTTTTATTTTTTTGGCTTTATTCAATAATTATATATATGTCTCCTAGATTTGTTGAAGTTTCCTAATAGAACATCATCATAGAATCATTTTGTATCTTTAGACCCTTGAATTCCTGTGTTTTTTTGGGTTTCTTGCTTGATGATTTTTAGGTGAACATAATCTGTAGATTTAGATCCAATTTTGATGGGTTTTTTTTTCTTTAGATCAAGAAATGAAACATTTTTACTTTTTATATTGGTCTCTGATTCTGTAATTTTTTTGGGGGGCCTCTTTTTCTGTAGATATAACCAGTAAAATTTGATGTTTCAGTTTCAGATTGAATTTTTGATGGGTTTCTATTGGGTTTGATTCACATATATGGGAAGAGCTATATTTGATGGTAATCTTTTTTGTTGTGGGTTTGGTGAAAAAGATGCTGAATTTTGAGAGTTCCAGATTGGTTTGTTGATGGGTTTTCAGTAGATTTTGATGTTAATCACAGCTTCATTTATTTAAAGTTTGTGAAAATGGAGAAGCAAACAAATTTTGGCTGTGGGTCTGTCGTGAATTCGGGTAGAGAAACGAAATTAGAAGAAGATGAAGAAGATTTCCGGAGTTGTTGCGAAGATGAAGATGAATTGATGGAGAGGGAAGAATCAGCGAAGGAAAGTTCGAAGGACATTCTTGATGAAGGTTCAGTGAATATGTTCTTCAAGGGTATATCGATAGCTAACGCTGGAGAATGTGGCACTGGGCTTTCCGGGATTGGGGTGGTTATGGAAAGATCAGCTAATGTTGCTTTGATTCAAGTACAGAAAAAGCTTGATTTCTATGTAGATGAATCGGTTGCTAACTATTTAGCTTTGATGGATGGTCTGTTAGAGGCTGCACGAAATAAGATTGTGCGGGTGTTTGCTTGTACCGACTCTGAGATTTTATATGATCAGGTGAGCCATCTAATCCAGCTTTCAATATATGCTTACGGTTTTTTACCATACATTCTTCAATTAGAGTCAGTGATGCAATTAATTCTGCTGCTAATGTAGTTTCTTTATGATCTAAATGTTGGTAAAATTTTGTTTCCGACTGAATATAAACATATGAACATATATCTTTCTTTGTGTCAACTAGAGGTTTTTTTTTCTTTTTTCCTCATGTTTGTGTCTGTTACCCATGATCTAAATGTTGATATGGTTTTTATTTTCTTTGTTATTTTGAGATATATGGCTTTTTGAGCAGGCAATATTTTGTAGTTTTTGGTTTAAATGAAATGCAAAACCAGAGCATTTAATGAATGCTTAAGTTCCATTAAAAAAAAAAAAAATTCGGATCCCGTTTATTATGCCCTTATACATCTCTATGATTGAGATACAAAATTTATAAAGATTGGTTGTTTGTGTAATCCATTTGATTGGTTGGCTTGAAAACATTCTTGAAATTACGTTTCATAAGTTAAACAATACAGAAAAAAATTTGAGCAGTAATTGGTATCTTTTTCCTTTTCTAATTTTTATGTTGATGTTAATTATCTCCGAGTACCAACATATTTTCTGTGTATTGTTTCATACGTCTCAAAGTGATATGACTTTTTGACAGATTATTAATGGGGAGAAACTCGATAATCCACTTCTCCTAGCATTGAGGCAAAGGATCCTAGAACATGCAGAAGATCTGGAAGCCTTTGTTCTTAAGTTGGTTCCCCACATAGACCTAGAAAGGCCATTATGCTTGGCCCAAGTGGCGATCGGGGTTGTGTCTCTTTTCCTGCTGGGGGAGATGAATCATTTGAAAATTGTTCGATATGTTGCGAGGAGAAGCCATTGCAGATGACTATCACATTGAAATGCTCCCACAAGTTTTGTTCCCATTGTATGAAAACCTATGTCGATGGGAAAGTGCAATCTTCTCAAGTCCCCATTCGATGTCCTCAGTTACAATGCAAATATTGTATCTCCATCCCTGAATGCAGATCTTTTCTTCCGGTTGCCTCATATGAAATGTTAGAGAGAGCCCTTGCAGAATCAAACGTTATCAATTCGGACAAAATTTATTGCCCCTTTCCAAATTGTTCAGTTCTCCTCGATCCTCATGAATGCTTATCGACAAGGGCGAGTTCATCGAGTCAGTCAGATAACAGCTGTGTGGAGTGTCCGGTCTGTCACAGATTTATCTGTGTGGAATGTGGAGTCCCTTGGCATTCTTCGATGAGCTGTGAAGAGTATCAAAACCTCCCTTTGGATGAGAGGGATGCTGCTGACATTACTCTGCATCGTCTGGCAGAAAGCAATAGGTGGAGGCGCTGCCAACAGTGCCGGCGGATGATTGAGCTAATCCATGGTTGCTACCACATGACTTGTTGGTAAGATCACTTTCTTTAGATATATAGACGCTGCTGTTTTTCTTTTTTATTTAAAAATAATAATAATCTTAAAATCAAAACAAAAAAAAAACTACTATAAAAAGGAAACTAAATGGTATTATTTTAGAACCTTGCTAGAGACCCCCAGCTGGGCAAGATCCCAGCACCCCCACCTCCACATGGCCACATGGGGGGCTGTGAGAGGAAGGCTAAAAAACAAATATATATATATATATATATTTTGCACCACAATCAAAAAATAGTGGGGGTGGTGGGGGTCCAAGGCATTTCTGATTATTTTAAATGTACTATTAAAGGTGGATAAGTAAGGCCTCAAATATATATATATATATATATATTTTGCACCAATCAAAAAATAGTGGGGGTGGTGGGGGTCACCCCCACTGGGGGTCCAAGGCATTTCTGATTATTTTAAATGTACTATTAAAGGTGGATAAGTAAGGCCTCGTTTGGGAAGCGACCGGTTTAGCCAAAAAGTCAAAAAGTTACTCAAAAAGCCAAAAAGTCAACAACCCATACAAAAAAGTCAAAATTCCCTTTTCTCTCTACTTTTTGCACATCTTTTCGTAAAAAATCAAAAAGTCATTCTAAACATAGGATTGTTTTGGAAAGTTGGTAAAAAGCTGGCTTTTGGCTTTTTGGCTTTTATGGAAGTGATTTGGGAAGTTGGTAAAAGGTTAGCTTTTTACTTTTTAGTTTAATATTTATTTATGGTGTCAAATCAAATTAAAATGACCAAAATACCCTCACCCAACATAAGAGATTTATTTTTTTATTTTCTTTTCATAGGCCCTAATTTGTAATTTTAGGGCTGCGTTTTTGGCACTTCCCAAAGGGATTTTGTTGCATTTTTGGCAGCCACGTTTTTGGATTTGTCCAAAAACGTGGCTTTTTACTATGTTCCCAAAATGGCACATAGTTTTTCTGATTTTAGCCAAATAACTAAAAAATTACTAAATTAGCCTGTTCCCAAACGAGGCCTAAGTTTAAATAGAAATTTTCTCCCCTCTTCTAGACGTGTGTTGTGCATTGGGTCGCCCTTCTACATGCGTGCATGTTAGACAAGTTAGCAGTTTGGCTCTGAAGTAAAATCATAAATGTATCTTTAGAGCAGTGATGGAAAGAAAGGTGTTACATACCTGCACCACATGAAAATAATCTCATTTAATAAATCCATTTATGGTGGGATTTTTTAATTTTCTTTCAAACCAACCCTTCAAAGTAGTATGTGATGACAATATTCTGGCAGTACTGTTCACACCTTATTTTTTGTTTGAGGGTCAAAAACCTTATGAAAAGCTATGTAATATGGCCTCTTCTAAATTTGTGAAGTATCTGTGTCAAACTTGATCCTTGGGTTAGGGTGTGAGATGCATCCATCATGCTATTGCACATGCACCCAACATTTTACTATGAAATTATGCATAAAATGCTCTATGCTAGTCTGTGAATAGCATTAATTTTTACCCTAAATAAATGAAAGAAATATGAAATTTACCCATGCCTTGGTCTCATTGTGCATGAGAATTAGATGAACTTGACACTTGGACACATACTTGCATCTGACCGTACCCAAGATGAATGTAAGAAGTGTGATTTTTTTTTTAATATTTTACTTATAATTATTTTTATGTCCCTACTAGACAAAAACCCTAGATCCGTCCTTATTAGCTGTACCCAAGCCCATGTAACATAGATGATTAGTCTGGAGTATCAGCTATTAGGAGAAAAAAAAAGACCTAATAAAAAGGGGAAAAAACTGTAGAGATATCCACCAAAGTGGACTAGATTTTCCAGTTCCCACCAAAGTTTCCTTCCTCTCCTTTGCTTGGAGATTACTCAATGTCTCATCTCTTTACATTGATGGAAGATGGCTTTTTTACTTGGATTTTTTCTGGTGTTTATTAGCCAGTCTTGGGTGGAGAGATGCCGACCAACAAGGAGAGGTGGTCAAAGCCATGGTGCGTAGAAGGGGAATTTAATGTAATTCAATTTTCGGTTAGAGAAGGCTTGTGTTCTGCTATTACCTTTTCTCTCATTTGTATTTATGTTTTTTGTCCATGTGCCCAGACATGCGGATGTGCTTTCTTTTTGTGTTTGCCCATGCACGGCTGTAAAACAAGAGTGGTTTGTTATGGACTATATGTTCAGATTGAAATTTATTATGGTATATCATTTGAGAGAGACAATATTCCCTAAAATATTGACCTTAAACTATGTTCAACAATTCTCTCGACACATTAATCTAAGAAGTACGGATACAGACATAAAAAAGTGATGGTGATTCTTTCCACTTCCCCCACCCCCTTTTCCTCTCTTTTATTGTGTGTGTGTGTGTGTGTTATTTTTTCACTTTTTGAAGTTCTGATTATGTGATTTGTGTCTGCAGGTGTGGGCACGAGTTTTGTTACTCATGCGGTGCTGGTTATCGAGACGGCCAACAGACATGTCAGTGTGCATTCTGGGATGAAGACAACTCCGAGGACTTGGTCGCTCACCCAACCCAAGAATCCGAACAATGGGCATGGGATTCGTTCGACTCACTCCCCATGATTATGGATGCTTACACTGATCAAGAGAGATCACAGCTGGCGCTGATCCAGAGGTTCCTCGCAGGTGGATTCAGTCTGAGCGATCATCACCCTTATCAATCGCCACCTCGCTGTACAGACTCTTATGTCGATGCAATGAAGGATCTTCATCAGCTTCCTTGGCTCGAAAGGTTTGTATCGGTAATTAGCGACAACTACTATGATGAATACATTCAATGAAGCGAATGTAGCGCTGGAACGTTCCAGAAACTGGAAATAAGCCGCTTTGCTCTGGAACTAAGCCGCTTTGCTTCGTGGAAAACGCTGCGAGGAGGTAGAGAGTCTCTCACTCTTTTACTCCATTTTTATTTTTAGTGACTACACAGAATGGGCACTTGTACTTTGATATGTAGTTTTCATTAGTGATTTCTTTTTTCTTTTCTTTTTTTAAATGGGATAGTGATTTCTATGTTGGATGACCTTTTTGTGACCTTGAATTTCCTTGCTTTAAGGGTGAGGAATTGTTGCATCATGATTTGCTTTCTTCTTCAAAGAGGATAGAAAAGAAATTTGAAAAATATATGTTGAATTACAGATTAAAAATCAATGAAACAAGCATGTTCATTTATTGTGGTTCTCTCCCTTAAATTTTCAAGAAAAATGCTCCGTAGCTCGAGAAAGTGAGGCTTGAATGGTACGGAAAATATTATCTTACCGGTAAGAGAATCAAAAAATATCTTAAAACGACGTCGTTTTGAGATTTCGAGCCACTCGAGTCACGAAAAATTCGAGCTACGAAATAAAGTTGAATTTCCAAATAATTGAGATGTGTTATCCAATGCTTTGAAATGGGTGTAAAATTGGTCCGGCTCAGGTCCAGGCCAGATAAAATACCTTAGGTCTAGGCTCATTCCTAAGCTAGGCCTAAGGCCTGGGTTTGTGGACTTTTTTAATTTTTCAAAATTTTATAAATTTTAGTGTAAATAAACATTAAAAAATGGTGACTTAGAAATTAAAAAAGAGAGTAAAATTAATGTAAATAAAATTAACTAGACAAAAATGATAGAATATAAATGATGAATTGTATTTATGTTAATTCTCCTAAATTTGTAAATTAAGATTTCATTTATAGTGTGCATTTTCTTTTTATGTTTTTTTTTTTAATCAAACTAAACATGGGATTGGATATTCCGACTTTTGATAAAAATGACTTTCAATTCTTGAACCAAATATTGCTTAAGAGTTGTGCTATTTTAGCTTTTGTTTGAGATGTGTGTTTATATTTTGATTTTTTAATTTTTTTAATTTGGGGTTAAAAAGTCTCATTTGGGATGAGTTTTTTTGACTTCTGTGAGAAAAAAAATAAAATAATTATGGTTTAAAAATGATATTTTGTCTTATTAATTTTTTAATTTATTTTATGTTTTTGTAACTAAAATAGTCTTTAAATTGCATGGCAAACATAGCCTTTGTCTAAAAATTTGCAACAAATCACAACTTACCACCTTGGATGTTTTCGAGCTAGGAGTGAACTTACAGCATCACATTTTTCATAAAGACACTGGCTTTGGTCCAGTCTAAGATCGGACTGGACCGTGCTGTTGGGCCCGTGAGGGTCCACCACGGGTGTCGTTTTGATAATTCGAACCGTTCAATGTGTAGAACTCGTCGAGTACTATAGGCCTGTAAAAAATTACGTTGATCGGATATTAATAGTTATGTGAACAAAACAGTTTTTTTATCAATCGTTAATTTTTTCACCGTCTATTTTTTTTTATACAAAATTAATTTGATCACATAGCTATTGATATCCGATCAATGTCATTTTTTACAGATATATAGTACTCAATGAGTTCTACACATTGATCGGTTCAGATTATCAAAACGGGCTCAAAAAATGGGCCCCATGAGTCAGAAGTCTTGATCTCAACTTGAGACAAGTTGGACCCTTTCATAAATTAGCTAAAAACAAAAGGTCATCTACTTTATGCATAAATTAATAATCATCTAAAGTTGCTAGTAACATTGGTTAATTTCACTTTTCTCTTAAATTATTATTATTATTATTATTTATTTTACTTTTAAACTATCAATTTTATTTATTTAGTTTTCAAATTCTCTAATTTGAGTTAATGTGATTAGAGACAGTTGTCTAAATTAGTAACCATTAAAACTTAATTTGATGAGCAAAAGAGTCATTTTAAAATTTAAATATGTTATATGAAATGAAATGAGAAACACAAAAAATTACATCAATTCAATTGATATTTAGAAATAAAATATTAAAAAAAAATTAACCATAATTTAGGAATAGTTAAGCAAGAAATCCCTTTTCTAAATCCACCAAATTGGTACCTTGATTGCTTTGGAGGCAACAAAATTGAGTAGAGGAAAAAATGAAAAAAAATCACAAATCAATTCGATCCAAATCAAATTGTCTGGTTTGATTTAATTTGATTTGATTTTTTTCAATTATTTGGTTATAATTTTTAAATAAGACAAACTTTTTCTTTATTACCTTTTTTCTTTTAAAATTCTTATCCAATTTTATAATTCACACACAACATTAGTGATTTGTCTAACCTATTTGTGCCAGCTCAACTCACCCAATAAAGAATTTAATCCAATGAGCAAAGGCTACTTGGGAAAGATTATGATGCACACTATACCGTATGCACCTTAAAAGTAAAGAAAAAAATGACATAATTTTATATTTTTCAAGTCATAACTAAAAAAGAAAAAATATAACCAAACAATACATAAGGTATAACTAAAGATCTCATGAGTCATAAATAAAATAAGTTTACAATTAAAAAAAAAAAAATCATAATTAAAAAAGAAAATAACATAATTTAAATGTGCATATAGTAGGAGGGGTGTATAGTAGAATTTTCCTTCTCTTTTAACTAACACACTAGAGGAAAAAAGTTAAGACACTTATATACACAACTACAAAAATTGAACTCATTTCGCTACATTTTTCGAAGTGACTGATCTAATGTAGGACATTCAATAAACATAAATAAATGATCTAAATGTATCAAAATGATATTTGCACCAGTAGAGTAACATTGTCAAAATTTAACATTTTGGTACTTTAAATATGTCAAATTGTAATTTAGTCATTGCCATATTTTAAATGAACAATGGGAGTTAACTCTTGGGTGCGTTTGTTTTGAAAGATTAGGGGGTGAGATTAGATTATTAGTTTCACCGGACTAATAGTCCATTGTTTGTTTGAAATTTTACTCCGGACTAATAGTCTCCCCGGACTATTAGTCCTACAATCCTATCCCATGGGGGGAGGTGGGATAGAAACTATAGAATTGATATCCCATGGAATTATTTTGTGAAATATCCATTTTACCCTCCATGCTACTACTTAGTAAACAATTAGATAAGGGTAAAATAGTCTTTTCAACATTTATAAATTATTTTTTTAGTGTTGTTAATTTAAAATTATATATTAAATAAAAAATTATAAATTATAAATTTAATTTAATTGAAAATAATAAATTAAAATAATTAAAATATTGTGCAAAAAATAAAATAAAACAAATTTTTATTTAATCTAGCTAAAAATAATTAAAATATTACATAACATAATTTAAATGTGCATATAGTAGGAGGGGTGTATAGTAGAATTTTCCTTCTCTTTTAACTAACACACTAGAGGAAAAAAGTTAAGACACTTATATACACAACTACAAAAATTGAACTCATAAATTATGGCCTTATAAATTAAATTTTTTTGTGTTGTTAAAAATTTAATTTATATATTAAATAAAATTATTTTTTATTTGTCATTAATTTAAAATTATATATTAAATAAAAATTATAAATTATAAATTTTAAATTTAATTTAATTGAAAATAATAAATTAAAAATTATGGCCTTATAAATTAAATTTTTTTGGTGTTGTTAAATTATAAATTATAAATTATAGATTACAAATTTAAAATTATATATTAAATAAAAATTATAAATTACAAGGGTAAAATAGTCTTTTGAACATTTATCCTTATCCAGTCTGCCTAACCAAACATTGGATTCACTAAAACTAGTCCAATCGAGACATCTAATCCCATGATTAAACAAACATAAGATACAAATCCAATCCAACCAAATAGTCCGGAGACTATGTATCCTGGGACTAACAGTCCGATGGATTACAATCCCCCCTTATCCAGTCCGTCCAAACAAACACACCCTTAGCGTATGTTTATTTTGAAGGATTAGAGGGTGAGATTGGACTATTAGTCTCACCGGACTAATAATTCATTATTTGTTTCATTTTTTTTGCTCTGGACTAATGGTCCCCCCGGACTATTAGTCCTACAAATATGAGACTATCCCATCTTATGGGGGGAGGTGGGATAGAAACCATGGGATTGGCATCCCATGGGATTATTTTGTGAAATGTCCATTTTACCCTCCATGCTATTACTTAGCAAACGATAAGAAAATGATAAAATAGTCTTTTGAATATTTATAAATTATTTTTTTAGCGTTGTTAATTTAAGATTATATATTAAATAAAAAATTTAAATTATAAATTAAATTTAATTAAAAATAATAAATTATGGCCTTATAAATTAATTTTTTTTAGTGTTGTTAAAAAATTAAATTTACATATTAAATAAAATTATTTTTTTAGTGTTGTTAATTTAAAATTATATATTAAATAAAAAATATAAATTATAAATTATAAATTTAATTTAATTGAAAAAAA